CGGGCGGAGAACGATTGGGGGAGGTCGCAGACAGCCAGGGCGCTTTAGAGCGGACGCGGGGCGGGGAGTTGGCAGAGAGAAACCAATGGGGAAGCAGAGTGCGGGTTCCGAAGATGGCGCACCCAGCCAATCAGAGGGAGGGACCCAATTGGGGGCGCTGGGAATGGGGGGGGCGGGGCGTGAAACAGAACCTGCGGCGGGGAGAAGGTTTTGGGTGAGTTTGGTGAAGCTGGAGTTTGAGGTCCAACGGTAGGAGACAAAAGGATACAGGTGAGAGGAGCTCATGGGAAAATTACTCATTTTTAATGGAAAACCAAAGGGAAGTTGGAGGCGGGGGACAGGAACCAAAAGATGAATATGAGAGTTCCAAGGTAAAGACCTAAGGGAAATTAAGGGCAGAATTTGCGATATTCGTGGAGAGAATTTAGGAGGAAAGACCTAAAGTTAAGGAATAGATTTAGGGGAAGTTAGGGTGAGAACTTGGGCAATTTTGAGGGGAAAGTAAGGATGTGAGCAAATTACTGAGAAAAACTGGTTGAAGCAGAAAAAGAAATTGGAGCAGGCTAAGAGAAGACAAGGGAGATTGAAGGAAGCATTTGGGGGCTTTAACGGGTAAATTAAGGCTGATTTGGAGATAAATTAAGATATTTGGGGGTTAAGACATGAGTCATTCAGGAAGACTCCAGGGAAACTTGGATAAAATTAAGGGGGTACCTTGTGGGAAATTAGGAGGTCAGGTAATAGAGGTCTTAAAAATAAGGGTTTGGGAAAAGATCAGGGGAGAATTGGGAAGACCAAGAATGTTTGGCCAAAGCAAAGAGAATTTAGGGTTCATTAAGGGAAGGAACTTGGGGAAATTTGGGGGATCTCAAAAGCAGAATTTGGAAATCCAGAAAGAATTTTGTCAGCCAGGAAGAAGCAGTGGGGAGGAGGGGAGGTTCATGAACCAGGAACAGGGGGATCTGGCTCTGACCCTCACAGCAGGCTCCAGGCTCAGCCTCTCCTTTCCTGTTCTCCCCAGCCCCTGCACCTGATGGCGCCAGTATGGAACCGGGGTACCAGGGGCATCCGTGGCCTAAGTAAGGCAGTGGCCCCGCAGGGCAGTCAGAGGAAGGAGAGGTCCCTGCTCCAGTTCCTGGCTGACCACTTCTATGACGTGCAGGCTCTCAGGGAGTACCTGCTCCGAAAGCAGGTATTGAAGGTGCACCAGAAAAATCGGTGAGAACTCTTAGTGGGCAAGACCCTGCTGCTGGGGCCTTACCAGGCAGAGCTCAGATCCTGCGCCTGCGGCCTCTATACCAGGCTTGCGGAGTTGCATCCTCTCCAGCCACACCCTTCCCAGGGGCTCCAGCTCATATAAGTAACCCGCTGTCCACTACCTTAGAGGGCACGCTGGTACCTCAAACCTAACATGGCTAATGGCAAAGCCTTGATTTCCTCCTGAGAAAGTCTGCTCACCCCCAAGTCTTTCCCATCCCAGGAAACAGCATTACTGTCCCCAGTTACTCAAGCCAAATTCTAAGGAGCCTTTCCTGATCTTCTTTTCTGTCTTCCACATCCAGTCCCCTAACACCAGACCATCCCACATGTGCCCAGTTGTTACCTCCTGTCTGTAGCCTGGTCTGAGCCCCTTCATTTTATGGTTGGTTGAGCGCAGTAATCTGGTCACCTTTTGCCCCAGTCTTACGGTCTATAAATCATCTAAAGGACTCTTAAAACAGGGTGCCTGGGTGGCTCGGTCAGTTAAGTGTCTGCCTCCAGCTCAGGTCAGAATCCCAGGATCCTGGGATTGAGTCCCATGTCCAGCTGCGTGCTAAGTGGGGAGCCTGCTTCTCCCTCTCCCTCTGCCTGACACTCCCCTTACTTGTACTCTCTCTCCATCAAATGAATACATAAAATCTAAAAAAAAAACAAAACAAAACAAAAAAACACTAAAATAGAAAAACACCACTTTGCTTAAAACCTCAAATGGTTTCCCATTGCAGCCATTTGGTTGCTAGAAAAAAAGCCAGACTCCAAAGCCTAAAAGCTGAGCTTTGAGATGCCTACCAGGGATTCCCCTTACCCCCACCAGCATGGCATCCTCAGTGCTGTTTGTCCTGCCATTCTAAGTTGAGCCTCTGAGTGTGTCCACCAGTTCTTCCCTTGGCCTGGCAGGCTCCTGCCGTGAGCTTTGAATTTCTTCCCACCAAAGCTCTGCTCAGGTGTCACCTCCTGCAAGAAGCTACTATTTTTTTTAATGTTTTATTTATTCGACAGAAAAAGCACAAGTAGGCAGAGGGGCAGGCAGAGGCAGAAGCTCGATCCCAGAGTCATGACCTGAGCCGAAGGCAGGTGCTTGACTGAGCCACCCAGGCACCCCAAGAAGGTATTTCTTAATACCCAAACTGAAGTAGCCTTCTCCATCCCCACCCCTGCCCCAAGCCACTCCCGAGTCAGTCCCTCTGTTACTTACAGCACGGAGCTGCTGCTGCGGTTTGCTCTTAACTTCCGGTTGGGCCACCTGGTTCCTTCCGTAACTTTAACCGCACAGAGCGTGGACTGCTGTCTGCCTTGGTGCCGGCCCTTAACGGACACTCAGTAAATATACGCAGCCTGTCGGTCAGTCGGTCGGTCTGTCTGGCTCACTCCTCTTGCCTTGAACTCTGACCCTCGTGGTGGGGCAGGGGCATGACAGCATGACACCGGGGTGCAGTGCTCAACCTCAGCCACTGTTCTCTCCACAGGCCCTTCACCCACATCAAGGAGCACTTCGGTCCCCAGGCCGCGGGTGCCTATTTCATCCTGAAGCAGGGCGGCGCAGTCAGGTATGAGGGCTAAAGCGTCAGTATGGGGTGGGGGATTCTGTGGAGCACTGAGCCAGAGGCCCTTGGGACTTCTCATGAACCCTGGGCTCTGTCCCTGCTGGCTCCCCTCGGACCTTGTTCCTGAGCTCCTGCTCTGTCACTTGTAAAACCTTGTATGAACCTGCAAGGTTTGCTGGAAAGACTCAGAGACTTACTGCCATGAAGTGTGTGGCACGGGCCCGATACAGCCGAGTTCAGTGAACATCGCTGAACTTTCCTTCCTTTCTCCTCCTTCCCTCCCTCCTCCTCTGTTTTTTCCTCCCCTTTCTCCTCTTCTCTGGAAAATGTAGCTCATGCATCTACCTACCCCTCGCTTGGCTCCAGTTAAAATGTTCCCCTGGTCTGAGCACCTTCCTCCGGCACGTTCCTCAGAAACGGTGCACACATCCGAGTGGGTCTCAACTTTTGGCAGTCAGTGAAGATTCTGGCATTCTCGCCCTTTTCTCTGATGTTAACCGAGTTTTTCTGACCCACAATAAAAATGGCCAAACGGGGGTGGCTGGGTGGCTCAGTCCATTGAGCGTTCAACTCTTAACCTCAGGGTTGTGAATTCAGGCCACGCGTCAGGCTCCATACTAGACGCGGTGCCTACTTAGAAAAAGTGGGGGAGTGGGAGGCCAAACATGCATCTCTCATCTCTCATGGGAATGTCCGGGGCCCAGGGAGACCCGACACGGAAGGCCTTTAGTGCAGGGCCTGCTGTGCAGCGAGCGCACCAGACGCTGTGTGACCAGGTCCTCACACGGGGCTGGAAGCGTCCTCCGGAAGCTGGAGGCCTGTGGAGGCGGGGTGCCCTGGTCACTGCCCGTCTCCTTCCAGGTTTCAGGGCAAGGAGTGGATCCAGCCAAACGCACGTGGCCGCTTCTCTCTCGACTTCCTGACGTTCCCAGCGGTGCCTGTAGAGGCAGTCAATGCCAGCGGCAGTGCCATCAACTACCATGGCCTGGACAACCTCCGTAAGTGGGCCAGAGACGGGCGGGCTGGTGCGTTTGCCCTTCCGTGCAGGGCTCCAGAAAGGAGCTCAGTGGCCTCCCCTGCCTTGCAGTGGCCCTGAAGGAGCTCCAGTCCCTGTGGCTGCGGCACTGTCCCCACGTGGATGACTGGTGTCTCAGCCGCCTCCACCCGCTGGCCAACTCGTTGCAGGAGCTCTCGCTGGCCGGTTGTCCCCGAATCTCTGAACGGGGCCTCGCCTGCCTCCACCACCTCCAGTGAGACCTCAGCTCAGGCTGGGCCCCAAGCTTGCGGGGTAGCGGGAGGCACCTGACACAGACACGGGAGAGCAGGGAGTGGGCGGTCCCCGTAGCCCTGCCTCCACAACCAGCCTGGAGCGTGTGTGGAGACCACACACGCGAGCCATCGCGGTGAATCTGGGGCGTGGCGGGGGAAGCACTCCTGGTTTTTCTTTTTAATGAAAACTCGATGACGTTGACACTGTTGTGAACAGGGGGAGCCAACGTGTGGTCTGTAATTCCCACGGGGGAGGTCTGTACTTGGCCAGCTCTCTCTAACATCTGGGTAGCTAAGGACTGATTTTAAAGAGCTCAGGCTCTAGGGCTGAAGCCAGGGCTGGTGCACCCCCCTCCATGCCCTTCCCCCTGCAGAGGCCCACCCTCCTCACAGAGGTCTCACCCCTTGCTGCCTCCTCTCAGGAACCTCCGCAGGCTGGACATCTCCGACCTCCCCGCCGTGTCCAACCCGGGCCTCACGCAGATCCTGGTGGAAGAGATGTTGCCCAACTGCGAGGTTCTGGGGGCTGACTGGACCCAGAGCCTCGGGTTGGGGCCGGAGGAGCAGTCTCGGGACACAGCCAGCCCCGTCCCTGCCTAGCCCTTGGCCTGCTTCCCGTCGAGCTGGGCATCAGCGGGGCCCCGTGGAGGGGTTGACAGTTCTCGGTCCTGTGGCTTCCATTGGGATCACTCCACACGGAGGTGGGGCGCGGGGTGGGGGGACTGGCCCTGCCAGCAGGTCAGGGGAGAGCGTGCGGCTGGCGTACTTACTCCCCATCTCGGGGACTCTGGCTCACTCGTTCCACAGGCTTCACTTTGGGTTCCAGCAGCCTCCCAGGCCCAGGGGAGATGAGCAGCCCCGGGGGAGCCACACTGTACGCCTCCCCCGGCCCCGTGACTTCCCCACACCTCCTCTCTTGATCCCCCCCACACCCGGTTCCTTCCATGTCGGGAAACCCTGCTCTTGACTTGTCCCGAGCGTCTTCTCAGCATAGCCTTGTTTAAAGACATTGCTGCTCCCTGCCGGGATCCCCTCTGACACAGGGGCACCACCGGCCCGGTTCCCTGTGGGACACCACTCAGCTCTCCACCAGCTCGCCATCCCTGGACTCACTCGCTGACGCCCGGCGTGCCCCACGGCCCCCGGTGTTCCCGCTTATCCACTCACTGACTCCGCTCCAAATCCAGCTTTCCTGTTTGCTCCGTGAAAACAGACCATGGGCCTTTGAAACCGTTTTTCTCGGCCGAGTGACGTGCTGAAGTTTGTCGGTAGAGGGCGCCTGAGAGAGGACAGGAGAAAAGCCTTTGCTTCCATGTGGGAGTTCTGCATGCTCCGGGCTGAGCCCTCAGGCCTCCCCAGCAGGTGGTTCCTGAGGTGCCACCCCCAGCAGTCTCAGAGAGCCCCCCCCCCCCGCCACTGAGGCACCTCCCTGCGAAGGGCTCTCCCTGCAACCCAGAACAGGGACCTCCAGGAAATGCCGAGACACCTTATCTGTGAGTCCCTGATTTCAGTTTGCTGTTCAACGTCAACAAATTGACATTAAACTTGACCTGTTCGAGTCACTGTGCGGTTTTTCTCTCCTGACGGGATCCACACGGATCCAGCACTGGCCTCCGGAGTGTTCCAGGAGACAGACTCACAAAGACAGGATTGGGGTCGGTCCAGCTCTGGCCAGGGGTTGGCCGTTGGCCAGGATGCCCGCTAAGGCACGTGCCTGGGAGCCCCGCAGCCGCTGCACCTGACCACTGTGCCAGTAACGCCAGTTCTAAAGATAGGTGCTGGAAGCTTCCGCGGAGTGCCCTTGAGCACCCACAGACAAGGACAGGGTCAGGGCTGTTGGCTCAGCTCGGGCTGCCTTCTTCGAGGGGGAGAGCTTCTGTGCTGCCCCCAAGATCCTTGAAGCGCTGAAAACGAGGCATTTAAGTTTGCAGGTTGCTGAGTGGTAGTGGTTGAATCCACAGTCTTGATAAGTTTCTCACGTGCAGGTGAGGGTGCCGCCTGGTACAGAGGGACCCTGAAATTTGGGATGGGGTACCCTGGTTGGACCTTGTGGAAACATGATCTTGGACCCCCTAGTCACTCGAGTGTCTGTGCCCAGTGACTGAGGAGAGCAGGAGCCCGCCTGTGCTGGGACGGCTGTGCTCCCCTCCCCTGGGCCGATGCCCTTCCTCAGACTCACCACAAGCACCCCTGCTCTCACCAGACCCCCGGAGGCCTGGGGCTTCCATCTCTGCAGGCTCCAGGGCACAGCCGCCCATGAGGACCCAGGGGATAGCCTCTACACCAGAGCAATGGCAAGATTTGCAAACCCCGGGAGTGGTGGGGAAGCTCCAGTCTAAGGGATTTAGACCAGTGAGGGCCGAGTTCACGGTCCAGGGCACTTTCGTGAGGGAACGAGGGAGCTAGCCAGTGCGGCTGGACGGCTCTAGTGGCTTTTTCAGGTTGCTGACTAGAACGTGGACTCAGGTGTGGCTTCCGGTTCCTAAGACAAGGAGCTGAGCCGCCCTGGCAGAATCCAGAGGGGGCACCCAGAGCTCAGCGAGGTCAGTGCTGGACCGAGTGGCTCCCAAGGGAGCTATACTTCCACCCCCAACTGTTCCACAAGAAGGCACCTCTCGGGTCCTTCGCGATGATGGGCTGTCCCTGTTCCAGTTGCCCAGTGTTTTCGCCTCCTGATTGGACCCAGGCTGATGCCCGTAGCAACCCAACCCGCACGGAGATTTCCAACCACCCCCAGGAGGAGCAGTGTTGGCACCCCTGGGAGAAGTGAGAGGAGCGGGGGGGAGCTCCAGGGTGGAAGCGGGAGGGGGAGGCTGGGAGACCCCTCCTGGGTGCTGAGGGTCCCACCCCGGGCCCCTAGCTGGCCCTGCCCCCTCACTTCTGGTGCATTAACACCCGACACGCACTCTGCACGCTCTTCTTCCAGCTGCTCCCACGGGCTCCATCACTCAGACTCGGGTTGGAAGTCAGCTCTGGACAGATAAATCAGCCACTGCTGACAGACAAGGTGCCAAGGATGAGATGGTCCAGACAGTCCTTCCAACCCAGGATGGAGCGAAGGGGGTCAGGCCTGGCTCAGTGGGGCCCCTGGTTGCACCCCAAGGTTCCAAGAGGTCAGGGATAAGGAGGCCCCGCCTGCCCACCTCCCCAAACAGCTGATGCCACCCCAGCAGGAGGGGCCCCGGGGGCAGGGATGCAAACACAGGCGGACACGGACACCCTCTCCTGTCCCAGAGGCCCAGATGGGCTGGGGTTGGGGGAGGCCTGGGAAGGGATGGATCCCCACCCCCACAAGGCAAACACCAGGCACCAAAGGGGGCAGAGGAGGTGGGGGGGTCAGCTCAGCTTGAGCCCCCCCCCCAACCCATGCCCTCCCCACCTCCACTAGCCTCCAGCTTGGCACCGCCCCCCCCAACTTCCGTCTTGTCCCCTCCCGCTCTACCCTGGCTCTGGCTCCGCAGACGCCCTTCCCAGTCCCACCCCATAGGTCTCCCATCTGCCTCTAACTTCTCTCTCCTCCTGCATGGGGCATGGGGCACGGGCATTGCCCCAACTCCACACCACTCCTCTCCCTCTCTTCCTGCAGCCATCTCCTCCTCCTCTGTCCCTCCTCTCCCTTCCCCTGCCTGCCCCAGAGGTCTCCCACAACCCTCCTTCCCCCCCCCCCCCCCCTCCGTCTCTCCCCTCCCCCCGCCCCCCCCCCCCCCCCCCCCCCCCCCCGCCCCCCCCGCCCCAGCCCACCCCCCCCGCCCCCCCCCCCGCCCGCCCCCCCCCCCCCCCCCCCCCCAACCTCCCTACCCAGCTCTGCCACTTTGGGACTCTGCCTGTCCCTGGGCCACCCCGCCATACTGCCCACCCAGGACTCGAGCCTGGCCCCTCAGCCTCACCCTCCCTCAGACTCTCCCAGGCCCCTGGCTCTCCCTGCCACGCCTCGCTGGGTCCCGTCTGTCTCTGGCCACCCCTGCACCTTTCCGCTGTCTCACCAAAAAACCAGCCCCAACACGCCAGAGCCCCATCCCTCAGGTCTGCCTCCTGGCCTCCTCTCCCATCCACTCCCGTCCCTTCTCCCTCGGCCCCGCCCCAGCCCCTCCCGGCCCCTGGGGCCCTGGCGGCCTCCCTCCCCGCCCCTCCCCGCCCCTCCGGACTGGCTGGGCAGGGCTCCGACTACAGCACCGCCACTCGGCTGGGGTAGAAGGGAGGGAGCGAGGGAGGGCCTGACCGGAGCCCCAGGACGCCGCGCGGGCGGGAGCTGGACCCAGAGGTAAAGAGGAGGGAGCAGGTCCCTGGCCCCCTTTCCCTGGGGTGAGGATTGTTGGGAGGAGGGAGGCTGGGCTCTAGAAGGTGAAAGGACGGACCCTACGATTCTGACTCCCGGTGAGGGGATGAAGGGGGGCTGGAATGGCCAAGGCCCCGGTCCCTGGGGTGGGGCTGCGGAATAGGTCCGTGGAATGGGCTGGGCCGGGCAGAAAGAGCAGCGAGTCAGAAGAACTGAACAGCGTTCCGAGTTCCAGGAATAGGGAAGAGCTGGGTCCTGGGCAGGGAGCCGGTTTAAGGGCTGGGGCTGAGAGAAGCGGTTACAGGGGCCGGCAGGGACTGCTGGCGCCCATCCCTGCACCCCAAAGGCCTCTGTGGCTCCTTTGCAGCTCCTGTGGCCACCCCTTCCCTGGGCTGGGTCATGCGCTGCCCCAAGTGCCTTCTCTGCCTGTCAGCGCTGCTCACGCTCCTGGGCCTCAAGGTGTACATCGAGTGGACATCCGAGTCTCGGCTCAGCAAAGCCTACCAGGGACCCCAAGACACCCCACCAGGACCCACACCCGCCAGCCCAGAGCCCACCCTGCCAGCTAACCTCTCTGCCCGTCTGGGCCACACCGGCCCGCTGCCCTTGGCTTACTGGAACCAGCAGCAGTGGCGGCTGGGGTCCCTGCCCGGTGGGGACAGTGCAGAGGCAGGGGGCTGCCAGGCTTGGGGGTCCGCTGCGGCCGCTGAAATCCCAGACTTCAAGTCCTACCCTAAGGGCCTCCGCCGCTTCCTGCTGTCGGCGGCCTGCCGGAGCTTCCCGCCCTGGCAGCCTGGGAGTGGCAGTGGCCAAGTGGCCGGCTGCTCAGGCACCGATGTCCCCTACCTGCTGCTGGCTGTGAAGTCGGAACCGGGGCGCTTTGCTGAACGGCAGGCCGTGAGGGAGACGTGGGGCAGCCCGGCTCCAGGAGTCCGGCTGCTCTTCTTGCTGGGGTCTCCGGAGGGTGAGGGGGGTCCTGACCTGAGCTCGCTGGTGGCCTGGGAGAGCCGCCGCTACAGTGACCTGCTGCTCTGGGACTTCCTCGACGTCCCCTTCAATCGGACACTCAAAGACTTGCTGCTGCTGGCCTGGCTAGGCGAGCACTGCCCGGGCGTGAGCTTCGTGCTGCAGGCTCCAGATGACGCCTTCGTGTGCACACCAGCCCTCCTGGAGCACCTGCGGGGCCTGCCGCCCAGCTGGGCCCGAGGCCTCTACCTGGGCGAGGTCTTCACCCAGGCCAAGCCCATCCGGAAGCCTAGAGGGCCCTTCTATGTGCCCCAGTCCTTCTTTAAAGGTCACTACCCAGCCTACGCAAGTGGGGGTGGCTATGTCATCGCCGGGCGCCTGGCCCCCTGGCTGCTGCAGGCAGCGGCCCGTGTGGCCCCCTTCCCCTTCGACGACGTCTACACTGGCCTGTGCTTCCGTGCCCTGGGCCTGGCCCCCAGGGATCACAAAGGCTTCCGCACAGCCTGGCCAGCAGACCAAAGAGCCGACCCCTGCACCTTCCGGGACTTGCTGCTGGTGCAGCCCCTCAGCCCCCAGAACAGCATTCGGCTCTGGAAGCAGCTGCAGGACCCCCAGTTCCACTGCTGAGCTGTGGAGGAGTTGGGGAGAGGGAGGAGGGCAGACCTGGACATCACCTCTCCCAGGCCTCCGTGGGAGGGAGAAACCCTAGAATTGTGACTGCCTGAGCCCCCTCCTTGGTCCTCCCAGGCGAGGCGGCTGGGCAGCAGGAGGGGACAGACTATTTTTATCTACTTCTTGTTTTTGAAAAATGTGCACCCCACCCCCCACTCTGAGACCCAGAGTCATCTTTGTGCCCGTGGGGCCCCAGAGGAGTTGACAGAGTGAACGCAGCTGCGCCCTGGCCTTCACAGTGGACACACTCCCCCCACTTACTGGGCAGGGCCAGCTCTGGTGACCTCCTCCTGGTCACTTTGCTGAACAGCAGCCTTGTCCCACCTAAGGGAGAACAGGAGACTGACTTGGAAGGACACCCCCCCACCATCCTCCAGCTTGCTAGAGTTTCCCAGGGAAGTACATGTCTCAACGGCCTGGACTTCTTTATGGGGGGGGGCGGTTTGTGAAACAAGGGGTGATCCCAAACCAGCCAGGCCAGGCTCTCCTCCCACCTCCCAAAGTCCAGGAAACAGACCAGCGGGGGGTACGAGCCAAGAGAGTTTATTGGCCACCTGCTGACCCCTTCTCACTGAGGGAGTGACTTCACAGGCTGACCTACCACGCCCACCCCGAGGGGCTTCTAGTCCTGGAGGCGCCCCGGCCCAGCCCCCTGGGAGAAGGCACTGTAACAGGCGAGGAGGGGTTGACCAAGCCCCACCAGGTAACAGCCTGGAGGAGTGGGGATGGGGGCTGGAGCCCTGGCCCCAGTAGTGTGGAGGGAGCAGACTGCGGGAGAAGGGTGGTGCCCCGCTGCTCCCTGGGCCCCTCAGAGTGGGGCTGCCCCTCGGGGTGGTTGAGGTGGGGGTCGGGGATGAGCAGGCCTCACTTCTCAAAGTGGTCCAGAGGGTAGTGCTCCCCGTAGGTCTGGAGGTGCCGGGCCAGGGCCTCCTGCTGCTTGCGGAGCTGGGCGGGCATCTCCTGGTACACGTCGGAGAAGAGCAGGCTGGGGCTGGGCTTTGGCTTCCGCTCCGCCTGCTCGAAGGCCTCCATCACCTGGGGGAGGGGGGGACAGTAGGCACGCAGCTGGCCCCCAACCCCGCACCTGTGGGACCCCGGCTGGGGTTCCCATCTGGGCACAGAAGAGAGAATGGGCAGGGGTGAGAGGATCCACATCGTCAGCACCCCCAGCCAGGCCCCTCGTGGTCTGGCACTGCACTAAATGCAGGGATCGGTGGGGCGGGACCAGGCAGCAGCCGTTCAGACGTGAGGAAACCAAGGCCAGAGGGAGGGTCCGGGCCAGGGCAGCTCTTCCCACCAGGCGCACTGCCCCAGCTCCAGGCTGAGGAGAGTGGGACACTCACTGCACACGGACTAGGGCACCTACCCCTCGCACAGCCCCCGACGAGGATCCCAGCATGTCCCTGCCGAGGACACAGCTAGGACCCCGCAAAGGCGCGTGCCCAGGCAGCCTGGCACCAGGGGCTGCAGCGAGACCCTGCTAGGCTATGCCCAGGTCTCCGAGCTCCGTGTGCCCCCAGTCCTTCCAGGCTTTTCCACCACACACTGCGCCGGACCACGCCCCCTGGGGCATGGCCTTCCAGCAGAGAGAGGCCCCCACCTTCTTGCGGGACTGCTTCCTCCAGGCCTTCTCCTGCTCATCGTCCCACCAGCCCCGGCTCTGCAGGTAGTGGCGCAGCCGGGAGATGGGGTGGTCCTGCTTATCCCAGTAGTTGACCTCGTCTACAGAGCGGTAGGCCGAGCTGTCATCACTAGTGCTGTGGTGCCCGATCCTGCAGGCGGAGGGGGCCCACGGTCAGGCAGGAGCCCCCTGCGGTGGGTTAGGAGGGAGGGCAAGGACTAGGGGAGAAGGGGTGGCAATGGAATAGAGGCCACGAAGGGGATCCAATGTGAGTATCCAATAAAAGGGACGGGGTCGTATTCTGGGGTCATATTCTGGGGACGGTGACCCATGCAGGGAAGATGGGGTCAAGGCCACAGGGGGAATGGGGGAGGCAAGCACCTGTAGGTCATGGCCTCGATGAGGAAGGGCTGGTTCTCAGCCACAGCCCGCCGCCGGGCCTCCTTGGTGGCGTTGTACACAGCAAACACATCATTGCCATCCACACGGATCGACAGAATGCCGTAGCCCGGGCCTCGGGCAGCTGGGGGGAGAGAAAGGCGGGTCGGGGACAGGGGGGCGGGGGGGGGGGGGGGGGGGGGGCTCAGATGAGGACAATGAGCAGAGAAGGGGGAGGTGGGAGAGGGAGCAGGCAAGGCAGTGTTCCTGCGACCCCCTGCTGCAGACATGGCAGGGAAAGGACTGCGGGGGGGGGGGGGGCGGCGGGCGGGGGGGGGGGGGGCAAGCACGCAGACTGGGGAGCAGCCCACTGGGCCCCTACCAATGCCATCCCCGCGGTACTGCTCTGAGGTGGGCGTGGAGATG